GTGGCGGTCTCTTATTTATGCTTGGTGAGTGTTGTTCTTCTGCCCATACGGGGTTGGCAGGGATCTTTTGTAGGGCTGGGTTTCTTCTAACGTATTCTTTGAGGTTTTCCTTGTCTGGGAAGACTCGTCTTACTTCTCCATTTGTCTTAATCGATAATGTGGCTGGATAAAGTATTCTTGGTTTTGTGTTGTTTTCCTTCAATGTTTGGAATATGTTACTCCACTCTCTCCTCTTCTTCATAGTTTCTGCTGATAGGTATGAGCATATTCTGTTTGGGAACCTTGTTGTTGTTGTTTTTTCCTAGCTGCTCTCATTATTTTCTCCTTTTCCTCAAACTTAGATAGTTTAATTATCATGTGCCTTGGTGACTTCTTGGGATTCAGTCTATCTGGTGTTCTTTCAGCCTCCTGAATGGTTGCCTGGTTTTCATTCATTAAGCTCGGGAAGTTTTCCTCCAAGAATTCTCTCGCTATTGTTACAGATGACTTCTTTGTTGTGTCTTCCTCCGGTAAGCCAATAATTATAATGTTGTTCCGCTTTATGGCATCAGACATAGCGCTTAGGTTTTCTTCAGCGTCTCTGATAATATTTTTAGATTTTTGTTCACGTTTGTTAAAGTCTGCTTGGCTTTCCTCCACGTCACAGATGCGGTTCTCTCCTTCCTCCAGTTGATTCTCGAGGAAAATGTTTCTGCTACTCGTTTTTGTTATCTCCTCCCTAAGATCCTGTATTTTTCTTTGTTGTATGGCCTTTATCTCCTTTATCATTTCATCCTTTTCCTATATTGTTTCCCTCATATCCTGTATGACTCCAAGCAGAATTCTGAAAATTTCTTTCTAGGGCTGCTCAATGTCTGCATCTTCTATGCATGTTGTTATGTTCGGGACATCTTCTGCCATTGCCTATTATTTCTCCTGGGGTTTGTTGTTGTTGTTGTTGTTGTTGATGATGATGATGATGATGATGATGCCGTTGGGGCTGATAGCTGTTTGCGTTGCGTTGTTTTAGAGGAGCCAGGTGACATTCTCCAGGGAGTCGAAGAGCACTGGCTCTCTGTGGGAAACTTTTACTAATGCTTTGTCAAACTGCCTACAGCTATTTTCACCATGGAATTAACCTACCACTTTATCCTCCTGTGGCTTCCCTATCAGGGGAGTTCACTAGAAGATTGGTGGGTTGCCTGCTTAATTGTTGCAGAGGTTGTTACAGATGTTCCTGCAGCAGCTTGGAATATTGACAAGTGTTGGCCGAGCTGCCTTAGGCCCCCAGGTACACAGGCAGGAATTCCCCCATAAGAAGTTGGGCAGAGTATCCCCTGGTGGATGTCAGCAGGGCTTTACCCAGTCTCAGGCTATCTGCACAGGGTGGAACTCACTTAGCTGGATGTGGCACAGGCGTAAATGCCCTAAGCTAAGGGGAGTGGTCTGGAGGTCAGCAGTGGAGTATGAGAGAACAGGAAAGAGACAAAGAGGAGGAAAAAATTGAAAAGTACGACCGCTGAGTCTGTGAGGGGATATAGAGTAGAGAGGGAAATAAAAACAACAATGTCGCTGAGTCCTCATCCCCACCAGTAGAGCTGAACAGATTTAGTCCCCAGAGGTGACTGCAAGCTGTGGGTGTGTTGAGAAAAAGCCCCTGCGCAGCCCTCCAAGAATGTGGGGGCATAGAGAGAATAGATGGAAACAAAAGTAACAATATAGCTGAACCCTGATCTCTGCCCATGGAGCTGCAAGAGTTTAGCCCCCGCTCGAGGAACCGGTGGCGGCAAGCTGTGGTTTTGTTGATAAAAAGCCCCTGCGCACGCCTCCAAGACTGTGGGGTATAGAGAGCAGTGAGGGAAACAAAAGTAACAATGTAGCTGAACCCTGATCCCTGCCCTGGAGCTGCAAGGGTCCAGTGTCTGCCCTGAGGCAGGCGGCAGCAAACTGTGGCTGTGTTGAGACCAAACCCCTCTATGGGCTCCAAATGGTCCCATCTGCAGCAGAGACAGTGGCGGGGGCAAGGTCAAGCCCCAGCCAACTTCCACTGAGGTAAAGCAAAATTCCCCAGCCACTCAAAACCAGGTGGGTCTGTGCCTACTTATCTTTTTGATGTTCCTCCTGGGTGCCAGCAACGTTGAATTTCCTCTAAGCAGCTCTCCTGGGATGGATTCTGCAGAGTCCCCCTGGTATGTGTTACTCCACTGCCACCTTCCCAGAAGTCCTGGAAGTGGCTTTTAAAAATATTATTTGTACTTAAATTCTGCCTTATTCTAATAAAGAGTTTATTTATTTGATAATTAAAACTTTATTCCAAATTAGTAAAAGTTTATAAAGCAGCTCATTGGTTTTACCAAAAAAAAAAAATGAAAATGATGGCAACAAATGTTCAAATGTGCTTGACATAGTGGATGGTATGTTTGGATTGTGATAAGATTTGTATGAGCCCCCAATGAAATGATTTTTACAAAAAAAGACAATCATGCATTAGAAAGCAACTGTCATTAAAATACAGGAAATAAAGGAAAGATCAAAGTGGATTCCAGAAGAGACACTGAAATTTGCTCTTAATTGTAAAGTAGCTAAAGCAACTGGAGGAAAGGAGGAAGTCAGAGAGCTAAATAAAACATTTAAAGGGCAGCTCAAGAAGACACAGCCAAATATATAATGAAATGTGCAAGGACCTAGAGGGAGAAAATCCAAAGGGAAGAAGAACAATGTGGTACCACATAACAACCATAAATATAGCCCAATTCAAAAAATCAGAAAGCAACAAGTGTTGAAGGTGCTCTGGGGAGACAGGAACAATCATCCCCTGCTGGTGTACCTGTAAGTATGTACAGCCACTATGGAAATCAATCTGGTGATATCTAAAGCAGATGGAAATCCAGCTACCATACGACCCAGCAAGCCCCCTACTGGGCATATAACCAGAAGAGGCCAGAAACAAACCAAGGCCAGACATCTGTGCTCCAATGTTCATTGTGGCACAGTTCATAATTGCAAGGTGTTGGAAACAACTCAGATTTCCATCAACTGGCGAGTGGATTAAAAAGCTGTGATACATACATACAATGGAGTACTATACATCGCTAATAAGCAGTGATGAACGTGTGAAGCACATCGCTGCATGGGAAGAACTGGAGGAAATCATGCTAAGTGAAGTAAGCCAACACAAAAGGATAAGTACAACATGAGTCTGCTGAGGTAAGCTATTAAAAAAAAATGCAAAAGGGGCATAGGGAAAAAGCTACTGTGCATAAACATTACTGTGGTGGGTACCAGATAGTATGGCAGGGGCCAGACCAAATCCAGGGATACATATGGTAGCCAACTAAAAAGGAGGGGAAGAAAGGATAAAAAAATTTTTTTTAATGGATAGCGGTGGCACAGGACACTAACCCATCCAAGGGGAGGGTATTGATTATATCTCCACAGGGATAGAGGGGCCAGACTTCAACCCAGTGCTCCAAGATGTGATTATAACATGCCAGCATGGAATAGGGAACCAGTGGAGAGGTCTAAGGGGCCGGCCCCAATCCCAACTATATGGACACCTGCCCCTCCCCCCAAAATAATTTATTTCAGAGGACAGCACTGAAGCTGGAGCCCGGGGAGAGGGACATGTCTGATCAGAGCACACGGGAACAAATGAAGGGGAAAGAATACAGAGTGGAGCACATCCTGGCCCACCAAGCCTCGACGACGACGAGATTCCTGCTCAGGTTAGCTAATCCACAGAGAAGACCATATGGCCGGCCCCACTATGAGTCATGACATCCCTCACTGACCCATAACCCTACAGGGGACAACACTGGAGACTCAGTGTGGGAATTCCACCTGATCTGATCCCACCACACCGAGGCAAGACACTAAAGCTGTGGAGCAGAACAGCAAAGGGAACAGAGCAATAAAGTCCCCAGAGAACACCAAAAATAGACTTTGGGACCAGGGCTTGGCCCCCCATCAGACTCGACCCAGAAACACTCCTAAAGGTCAACAAACAGTCCTTGAACTAACTATAAGCTTTTCTTTCTTGTTGTTTTTTGTTTGTTTGTTTGTCATTGGCTTGTTGGTGTTGTTTTGTTTTCTTTTGTTGCTTGGCTTTGCTCTGTCTTGTTTTTGTGCATGTTATTATCTCTACATCTGTCTAAATAAGATAGGCTGGATGAACAATCTGGAGGAGAAAACAACGGGACTGACGGTTACAGGGGGACATGGGAGAGGGTTAGGTGGAGGGAAAGGAAGTGGTGTTAACAAACCCAGGGACAAGGGAGCAACAAGTGATCCAAATCAGTGGCGAGTTGGTTGTAGAAGGCCTGGTAGGGCGTGGCCAAGGTTAATGTAACTGAGAGGAATTACTGAAACCCAAATGAAGGTTGAACATGATAGTGGGATGAGAGGGAGAGGAAAGAGCTAGGAGGCAAAGAGCACATATAGAGGTCTAAATAAAGCCATGTACATATATAAGCATATTTATCTATGAGGATGTGGAAATAAATCTATGTGCATATATTTATAGGTTTAGTATTAAGGTAGCAGATGGACATTGAGCCTCCACTCAAGTACTCCCTCAATGCAAGAATACGTTCTTCTATAAACCTGGCATCCCATTATGTTCACCTTCCCGACAATCGCTGAAGACAAAGTGGGTGCATAAGCAAATGTGGTGAAGAAAGCTGATGGTGCCCAGCTATCAAAATATATAGCGTCTGGGGTCTTAAAGGCTTGAAGGTAAACAAGCGGACATCTAGCTAAGAAGCAACAAAGCCCACACAGAAGAAGCACACCAGCCTGCCTGATCACAAGTTGCTGAAGGGATCAGTTATCAGGCATCAAAGAACAAAAAAATCATATCATTTTGTGCTCACCTCCCCGATATGATTGCTGAAGACAAATGGGTATATAAGCAAATGTGGTGAAGAAAGCTGATGGTGCCCAGCTATCAAAAGATATAGCGTCTGGGTCCTTAAAGAGGATGGTTCTCAGATGGCTAGCCAACCAAATTGCTCAGCCGTTCCACCTCTTTGAGGTCGTGGTTGACTGAATGCAAGTTGTCCTCGAAGTGCATAACAAAGGCCTTCTCCCGGCCCTCCAGGGTCTCCTTGTTTCGCATGTGATCTTTTAGGCAGTCCGAACACCTTGCTCACGCTGGAGTGCAGTGCCTGGATTGCGTTAATGGCCTGGGCAAAGGCCTCCAGATTCACACCGACACTTAGCACGTCCGACATGATGCCACCGCTACAGGGTTCCCCTGCAAGATATGTTTTCATTGCTACAAATTCAACATAATAAAGCATAGTGGTTAATCATAAAACAATATATAATTATATATTCTGAAACATTTATGTTTTTCTGATGGTCTTAGGCAACCTTTGTGAAAAGGTCGTTCGATCACCCCCAACAGGGTTGTGACCCACAGGTTGAGAACCACTGCACTAGTGGATCAAGGTACACCCAGCCAAGAGATGCAGTTCTAGGGTTTGGATTTCAGGGACTGGGACTAAGATTGGGTTTTGATGGAATTTGCCATCAGAGGTTTCCAGCAAGGAGAATAAATTCCATTTAATCCTAAGAGAGTTATAGGGTTGAAAATTGCAGAAAATTAAGTAAGTGTACGGCTTAAAAGGCCAGAAATGCCCAAGGGAAATGAAATATATCAACACAAAAATTTGTCCACTAATACTTAAACTACTGCTCATAATAGTCAAAATGGAAATTACCTGCATGTCCATCAACTTCTGGATGGGTAAATACAACATTGTACAATGAACTATTCTTCAATAATAAAAAGAAGTGAAGTGTTAAAAAACTTTCAAGCCCTAAGTTACGATATTAAAATGGTCTGCAGGCTAACAATTTAGTTATGTAGAAAACATCAAGAGAAGATGGAGAGAATAGAGAATCACTGTACCAAAAGAACTAATCGATATTCCACCATTTCAGGAGGTCACACATGACCAAGAACCAATGGTGATTGGTGATTAAGGAAGAATTGAAACAGCACTGAATACATTAGCCAAAGGAAATGATTCATAAAGCAGAAGAAGCAGTGGAAGCAGTGGAAGCCCTCACTCATTTATGCCAGGAAACTTAAAAGACAACTACTTTGCCAACGGACTGGAAGAGATCCATATTGGTGCCCATTCACAAAAAAAAGTAATCCAAAGGAATGCAAACAATATCATGGATGTGGAATTGTGCTGAAGGTCATCCCACAATGATTACAGCAGCACATAGACAGGAAATTGCCTGCAGTGCAGGCTGGATTCAAAAGAGGATGTGGATCAAGGTATATTACTGATGTCTGATGCATCTTGGCTTAAAACAATGCAGAAAGATATTTACTTGGGTTTCATTGACTATGCCAAGGCATTCAACTGTGTGGACCATAATAATCTGTGGATAACTTTCAGGAAAATGGGAATTCCAAAACACTTCATGTGTTCACTCAGAACTTGTATATGGATCAAGAGGCAGTTGTGCAAACAGAACATGGGAGTACTGCATGGTTTAAAATCAGGGAAGGTGTGTATCCGGGTTGTATCCTCTCACCTTATATGCTCCGTCTGTATGCTGAGCAAATCATTAGAGACGCTGTATTATAGGAATATGGCATCAGGATTGCAGAAAGGCTTATTAACAGCCTGTAATATGCAGATGGCATAAACTTGCTGGATGAAAGTGAAGAGGAATTGAAACACTTTCAGATGAAGATCGAGGATTATAGCCTCCAGTAAGGATTACAATGTAATGTAAAGAAGACCAAAATCCTCGCAACCAGATAAATGAAGAAAAGGTTGAAGTTTGTCAGAATTTTGTCTTACTTAGATCCACAAGCAATGCTCATGGGAGCAACACTCGAGAGATCAAAAGACATATTGCATTAGGTATACCCACTGCACAAGACCACTTCTGAGTATTGAAGAGCAAGATTGTTACTTTAAGAAGTAAGGTGCACCTGTAAGGACTAAGGCATGCCTGACCCAAGATGCATTTGAACTATGGCGCTGGAGAAGAATATTGAAAGTACCTTGGACTGCTGAAAGGACAAACTGATCGGTATTGGAAGAAATAAGACCAGAGATCTCTTTAGAGCCAAGAATGGAAAGATTCCCCATACATACTTTGGACATTTTGTCAGAAAAGACCAGTCCCTGGAGAAGGACATAATGCTTGGTCAAGTGAATGGGGCAGTGTAGCAGGGGCAGATGGATTGACACAGGGGGTTCAGGCATAGAAGAGGGCTGAGGATTGCACCTGACTGTGCATTGATTCATTCTTTTGTACATTGGGTGACTATGGATTGGAGCCTCTGACTGAAAGGCACCTGACAGCAACCACAGAAATCCTCTGAATGAGGCCTGGTAGTGTAGTGCTTCCACGATGGGCTGTTCACTTCAAAGTGAGCATTCAAAACCGCCAGCCAACTCTGAGGGAGAAAGAGGAGGCAGAGATGAGGTGTTCTACTCCCATGAAGAGTTACAGTCATAAATGATCACTGAAGATAAGGACACTACAGCAAAGTGTGGAGAAGAAAGCAGATGGTTCCGGGCTATCAATCAAAATAGTGCCTGGGGTCTTAAAGGCTCATATTCAAACAAGCAGCCATCTAAGGGAGGAGTCAACTAAATCCACATGGAATAAGCACACCAGCTTGTGTGATTCTGAGATGAAAATTATAAATTCTAATATGGTGAAGAGAAAAGTATCACAGCTAAAATTATAAACACCCAATTTGCAGAGGGCTATGGAGGACAGTGGGAGCCCAAAATCCATCTGCCTAGTATCTAGTCACAGTGAGCCAGTGGCAGCTCCACTCTAGCCAAAGGCCAGAGTCCCGAACAGCCTCACTATCAGGCAGAGACCATTGTAATCCTGATTATGCGGGATTGAACTTGGTACCAGGCCAGGAATCTTCCTATAGACACCACCTGTGTTTATACTGGGCCGCAAGTCCCAGTATACGTCACATGATAGAAATTTTTCTTCCCTGACTTTTTGAAGGTTGATGGGGGTACAGGTTGGTGGGGGCGGGGTGTCTTTTGTCTCATGCATCATTGTTTTTGCCTTTATACTAATATGATCTTATCCTTACCACGTTAGTGCGATTTGTCTTGCACTATTTTCTGTTGGGTTTCCCAGCTGTGAAGCACAGGAGGAATGGCTGTATGATGATAATAACTGATACAAAGTGTTGTCGGGAATGCACGGGTGGGATGGACTGGGGGAGGAAGGGAGAGTTCTGGAGTAAACTGTGAGGGTGGGTACAGCTCAGTTTGAAGGGGATGTGACCATGGGGGTGGGGAAAGGGCTCTAAGATAGATATCATGGTGATTACACAACTCCCCTTGAGGGGGCTGAACAATTGAACTGTTCAGTTGTATGATATGTGAATTATGTGCCAATAAAACTGTTAAGGGGAAAAAAAGGTTAAAAAGAGTAAGAGTCTTGGAAACTCATAGGAACGGGTCTTCCTTGTCTTACAGGGTCATTGTGTTAGGGAATTGATTTGATGCAGTGAGAAATTCTCCAATGAGCTCTAATGGCATCATGGGTTATATATTGGGCTGCCAACTGCAAGGTAGGCAGTTCAAACCCATAAGCTACGTCAAGGGATAAAGATGAAACTTTCTGTCCCAGTAAATGTTACTGCCTCAGAAACCACCAGTCAGTCCTACCCTGTCTGACAAAGTCGTTATGTGTAGGAATCGACTCTGTGGCAGTAAGTGAGTACGATGTCTCCATGAGAATGTAGTATGTAGAACAACACTAACACACTTCTGGAAAATAACAGGCCTGGACCATGATGTCAGAATGTTTCAATTTTATTAATTTCAGCACACAAAGAAGAGGACAATATTCAAACATGTGTGTTTCTTAGAGTGTTGTTGGTTTTACACCAACATAATAGAAATATCGATGAACCAAATCCAGATCTTCATGTCTCATGATGGGCTAGAGAAAGATATAGGGACAAAAAGACAAGCATTAGTGGTATTTGTACAATGGCAAATCAATTTTTAAAAGTACCGACATTGTCCAGATTCTCTTTCTGAAAATCCTGTGCTTGAGAGTAATGCATCTAGAGATAATGAAAATAATTCAAACCTATCCTGGGTATACGGCAGCTTACCCTTGGGGTAAGAGCAAAGGCACACACATTCGTATTGTGAAGGCCTTGCTACATCACTGAAGCCATGAGACGTCTCAGGCTGCAAAGCAGGGCTGCAAACCACTTTGAATCACTCCAGTCAAGGCCAAAGCTGAACTA